TATATATATATATATCGGTACTTGACTGGTAATCGCGTGATTTGTTGCCTGGGCAAGTAGCCAAAAATGTTGAAACAACTACACGAGAGCTTCCATTTATAGATTTACACAAAGTCACAGAATACACATTTTGTTCAATCGATCATTTTCAGTTATGGTTCCACGCTCGTACAAATTTTCAACCACAGTTTGTTTGATTCAGTCTAGTTTATGTGGAGAAGAAAAGGTAACGCACTTTTGGGGATAAAAAACGTTAAGTTTTGACCTAAACGATTGCGTTACGAGCCCGTGTATAATGTGATAGCTCCCAGTGGCAACAAGCAGATCATTCCTACGAGATCGCGTGCATTTCTATCCAGTGGACGCTCGACTTTGGTGAGTAGCGTAGCAAATGGATCCCTCTACTTTTGGCAGGTGCGGATCCATACCGGTTTCCATCGTTTTCGCCAATCGGTGAAATTTCTCAGAATGATTCAGAAACCCAAGAAAGGGAACTTAAGGGAGTTAAAATCCAAAACATTTCCTGAAAGAGCATGGCCCCGGACTAAATGCTTTTGCCTTCGGCACTCGTTCTTGCCGAACTCCTGTAGATCCGCGCCTGTTTCGGTAAGTTTTTTCTCTGTACATAGAATGATAAAGAACTTTTCTAAGACTCCAAACCGTTAGTCTCGCAATACGTGGCGAGTTGGTTATTTTGTTTTTTGTCACGTAAAACTGGGTCTATGCAGTGTTATTGTAATGAACTTTCACGTATTATCTTAAGTTTGTTTGCTAATCGCAGAGCACCTGCACGTATACAGCATGACGGCCGTGAATTCACACAGTTCCATAAGTAAAAAATATGTTGAAAATAGTGTCAAGCTTGGCGACTACTAGTAACTCTAGGCCCCCTTAAGTTCTTTGATTTTAATGCTGTTCATTGTGACCTCAAGTTTCATAACAAAATATCGCGTAACTTCGCGTATCGCATATACTTCTTCTCAACAGCAATTAACCGTAAGTGGAATATTTCCGAAAGGCTCTATTGTCGTGTTAACTGACGTATTTGGCTAAGTTTATTTCCTGGGCGGAAAGGATGCTGCTATTTAAGTACAAGATGGAACTTTTAAAATTCGAGCAAGAAAAACTTATGCCCTGACATGTCGAGAGCCGGCTTTTCGAATATGTATGGTTACCACCCCTTTAAAGTTGATCACCTTTTATGACATAACAGTTTTCGCTTCAGAGAAAAGTTTTACGCCCTGCCTTGTTAATTTATTACTTCCCAGGGTAGTGGACTATACAAGAAGAATCCGTTAGAAAAGAGAATCGAGTTGAAAGGAAAGGGATTCGGGACTGTCGACTGTCATAAAGCACACACTCTTTGCGCACGTTACTTGATATCCTGAAAGTCTTGATATGACTTCTCCATATCTATCACGTATAAATGGAATGTAGGTCAAGTGCTGTTACGTCTGGAGCAATCAACAAAAATATCATGGGTTAAATACTGGCCTATAAGCGCTTGTTTTTCCCACTCCGAGCATATATAAAAAGAGGTCTATAGTGTTTTAGTTCCTTTTAGGTATATTAATGAAACGATAGCCATCTCTTATGAAGTTACGTTTTCCTTTTAAGCAATGGCACTAACCACGGACCAGGTTTTCGAGAAGATTGGCAGCTTTGGACGCTACCAAATCGTCCTCAACATATTTTTTAACTTGTGTTTCGGATTGTGGTGGGGCGTTCCAATTATGGTTATGGTTTTTATTGCGTCCGAGCCCAGCTGGAAGTGTAAAAATAACTCCACTTGCCCCTTCACGAAAAGAATTAGCATCAGAGACGTCGACGATTACAAATTCAGATGTAAAATTCCCAGGGAAGATTGGGAGTACGTTGATGACTTCACTTCAGTTGTCACTGAGGTATGTATAGAGGGTAACAACTGAAAAGTACATTTGAGTGCAAAGAGCACGCAATATATTTAAACTGCACTTTTTTGGTTCTACTGGCACCTGGGGATGGACAGGGAGAGGAGGAGGGGGGGGGGGGCGGGGGGTATGGTGAGTTCCTCGCCATCCTAGGTTTTACTAATGTAACGTAAGGCTAAAAAACAAGCTGAAAATAAACAAAAAGCTAAAAATGTTATTGCCAGAAAGTGACAATTATTTTCATTGAAAACATTGAAGTCAAAATGAAAAACATATCTGTCATAATGTGGTTACTACATTAACATCCAGATCCATGAGCAGAAATTTATTCCAGTACAAGTTGGCACCCTTGGATTTCATTGCTTTCATGCTCTTAAAGTTAAAAGCCTTCAAAAGTCGTCGAGGGCGTCAGGGTCTCCACAGCGCGCGCAAGGCAAAACACAAAGATCTGTAAGAAAACCTAGAGTGATTTACGTGTATATTTGTCGTTATTCATGATTGATGTCTGCTAACTCTTTCCACAGTTTGACCTTTTCTGTGACCGAGGTTCGCTGGGATTCGTCTCAACGTCTGTGTTTTTCGTGGGGTTCTTTGTTGGCAGTATTGTTGTGAGTCCGCTCTCTGACAAGTTTGGCAGGAAACGCCCACTCTTCATATGTGGATTTTTCTGCTGGTTATTTAGTTTTGTTTCCGCTTTCGCTCCAGCATTTTGGTTTTTTGCTCTTTGTCGCGCCATCGTGGGTTTTATGGTTGGTAAGTACCATTAGGATCTGGATCGTGAATCCTGTTTCAACTTGAACTTTTTATACTAAAATTAATTACCATCTCAGGTTGTCTAACAAACTCCAGAAGCTTACTGTTAGGGCTTTGCCTGTTTAAGATAAGTAAAACAAATCTTCTGGATGCTCTGCATGAATTCATCAGTAAACAGTTCGTTTGTTTTGAAATAAATAAAGAAGATTTGGTGAGATTTGAATAAAAGCTAATAAGGGGAGTGAAGAGCCTGACTCATTTGGCGCCATTTCAGTACGAGATACGTAACCATCACAGTGTCGCTCCGACAATAATTACTTGAAATGATAACTGTTCTTATACTGATATCTTCCCATTTCATTTGACCTATGCGTGTAGGAGCTTACCATATCGCAGTGTTCGTGTTGGCAACAGAGTTTTCTGGAATACGCCATCGGGGTATCGCGGGAGCTCTTGTTTGGCTTGGGATTCCTTTGGCAACCATAGTTTTATCAGGGTGTGCACATGCCATCAGAGAATGGAGACTGCTCACCATTGTCACTGGAGCTCCTGGGATTCTACTTGTAGCCGGCTACTTGTGAGTTAAAAGAGAAAAGGGGTTTTGTTTCTTAACCCTGCATGATAAAAAAAAAAAAGAAAAAAAGAAAAATGGTTTCAAAGCTTCAGATGAAACTGGGGTAAAAAAAATAAGATATGAATTGTTTGGGAAGCGACAAGAGTATCCCAGACGGCGAAGAAAGTTAACCTGGTAAAAGTACAATAATGGGTCTCATTCAGTTTATGGTTTTCTTTCTTTGTTAACAATGTTTTGAAAAAATCAATCACCAACAAGAACAAAATCTCTATTGAGGTAGACCCTGTACATGTTCTTCCATGTTGGTGTCAAGCAAGTGGACAAATTGTCACATAACAGAGTAACATGTTTTATTTATTGCGTCTCTGTCTTGCTTTAGCTAACGCGGTGTAATCCAAATCGAGCGGTCTAGGTTCGAGCCTTGGCCTGGGTTTGGGTTGTGTTCTTGGGCAAGACCCTTTACTGTTACAGTGCTTCTCCCCACCCAGCTGTAGAAATGAGTACCGGCGAACTTAATGCTAGAGGGTATAACCGTGCGATGGACAAGTATTTCATCTAGGGGCGACTAGAAACCGGAGATAAACGCCGGCCCTACATGGAGGCTTTTTCTTTTTTCCAGTCTTACCCCAGAGTCTGTACGCTGGTTGTTAAAGAAAGGTCGAGTGTCTGAAGCAAGAGACGTTCTTAGAAAAGTGGCCAGGCTGAATGGCAAAGAAATGCCGGACGAAGCACTGCTATTACCCAACGATGAGAAGGTGGAAAGGCTTGGTGATCTTCGTGACTTATTTATTTCGGCCAAAATGACTCACAAGACGCTTGCTTCCTGGTTAATGTGGTAGGTTTGTTTGTTTGTTCGTTTCGTTTCCTTATTTACAGTTTTGCCAAGTGGCATGTAGAAAGACGAAATGAGAAAAGTCCCCTACAAGGCCTAACTCTCGAACCAAACCCAAGTTAAAACGTAAACCCGGACGCAACCCACAAAGAATTAAAGGCCCGGACAAACGATCGCAACATATCGCAACATTGTTGGGCGCTACATGTTGCGCGCCTTTAGCCACCCTGTTGCGACATGTTGGGTGTTGTTGGCTCAAATTTGAATCTCGGACCAAACGATCGCAACATTTCAACACAACATATCCCAACATTGATGTGAAGTATATATGAAATAATTCATATTTGAACTGCGGTTGTAGATAAAAGTGAAGAATGATCATCGCAGTAAATTTTCNAGCCCTGATTTTTTTCAGGCTTCTTCTTTCCAATTGCTTAAACTGGAAAATTTACTGCGATGATCATTCTTTACTTTCATATCCCAACATTGTTGGCCCAGCGTTTTCAAGCTCCGGCCAAACGATCGTCGCAACATTTGAACGCAACATATCGCAACATCGTTGGGCACAACATGTTGCGCTTGTTTGGCCACCCTGTTGCAACTAGTTGCGACATGTTGGGTATTGAAAGTCGAACTAATGCGCATGTCCGGGCGCAACACTTTTGCACGAACCTGGTCAAACGAATACAACATCATGGAACATCCACAAATGTTGCATGAAAAATTTGACCAGTTTTCAAATTTGAGCCAACAACACCCAACATGTCGCAACATGTCGCAACAGGGTGGCCAAACGCGCGCAGCATGTTGCGCCCAACAATGCTGCGATATGTTGTGCTGAAATGTTGCGATCGTTTAGCCGGAGCTTGCAAATGCTGGGCCAACAATGTTGTGATATGTTGTGTTGATATGTTGCGATCGTTTGGCCGAGGCTTAAGAAAAAATTGTTGACACGAGCACGCTTGCGTGAGATTTGAGCGGCGAGATTTAAGGCAGGCAATTTGTATGTTCGAGTATTGGCTTTCAGTTGACTTTTAAACTTGTGAGAGAAATGGCATCCTTTATGGCAGGTATGTCGAGTGTCTAGCAAGTTTATTTCCTTTGAAAATTTGTCAATCACGAATCTCACACGTGTCGTATACCAGCCATGCGAGAACATCCCTATCGTTACTGTCCAAGTTACTTCGGCCATCCTTGGCAGGCTGTTATAGATTTCTATAGAATATTTAGTTATAATCTTTCGGTGAGCCTTGGTGTCATGGAGTTATCACAAGAAAAGTTATTATTAGATAACATTAGATATTCTTTAAAAGACATCTGGTGCCCATTGGTATATTCTGCAATAGCCGTACTTTCATTTTGCAATTTATGGTACACCTAAGCATCGTGATGTATATTCCACCAACCAATCCAGATATTTTGTATAGTGTAGCATTGTCAGTTAATATCATTTCAATGTTACTTGTCTCACAGGTTTGCTGTCTCTTTTATATACTGGGGCATATCCTTCACTGCACCGTTCCTTGGCGGTAATATCTACATCAATGTATTGATTTCCGCCGTAGCTGGTTTGCCAGGATATCCTGCGAGTGCTGTTTTGACAGCAAGGTGAGAAATGAGAACGACGAGCCCACTTATCCGTTTGGGATCTGCTTTAGCTGTATTCAGTAGGGGGGGGGGGCTACAGGATTTTTCAAGGGCTAGTGACTGGTACCTTGGGGTTGCAGAATAATGGGGCATGTCCAAGGAATGTTGCAGTTGAAAAAAATACCATTTCGTATTGGGAATTCATCTCGGTGTTGGACTGGGTCTAGGTTGCAACTAAGGCTAATGCAGGAATTCTTTCCAAATGTGAATAATATTAATATCTTTTTAATGATATTCCTTCACATAAGTCTCTAATGATTGCTTAAGATTGACGTTGTTTGAGCGATTGACCACATTACCTCGTTCATTAAATCGAAATACATCGCGGAGGGGGGACTGGACGCGGTTATGGGCACAAATCTAACAAAGGTTGCTTCGTGGATGCGACAGCGTAGTTTTTGTCAATGACGCGAGGAAAACGGTGAGGAAATGTGAGGAAACATATCATGTAGTATGTCCAATGATGTCTGGATGCCGCGATCTTTATCAGTATGCCTTATGTGATGATCTTTCCGGTTACACGATCAAAGATTGACTAAATTTGAATTCGTGTTTTTAATCCCAGGTTTGCTCGAAAGAAAATCTTAGTAGTATCGTTTATTCTATCCTCCGTGGGAGCGATTGGTGCACTTCTATTATCAGTTAAAGATGATGACAAAGGTTAAGTATGCCTTTTTGTTATATAGCTGGCTTTTTTCTCACTACAGCGCGCCCATTCATTGGCTACTCCATGGTCACATGACATCTAACAACGAAACTGGTTCCCGCCAAATGCCATGAGCGGACAACATTGCGAAAACTATGACGTCAAACGGGAAACAGCTCACTGTTACCCGCGAAATGATGACCGCTGTTGCACGTCATTTGTTAATTAAGTGATTATTTGTTTTCCTATATAACAAATCACTTAATGTCTGGTCCCTCGAGGAACAGTGAATTTTGTTTCTCTCGAATCTCAATATTTCCCTCGACTCGGGAAACATTGAGATTCTCGGGAAGCAAAATTCACTGTTCCCCTCGGGACTAGTCATTAAGCGTTAAATATTGTGCTACTTTAACCCTCGTTAGTAACGTTAGCGACCTTAAGCAATGACGGCGGCGACCCCGAAGACAACGCCTCGAAAAAAAATAAATAGATGTTTTACATTCGAATTTCACAATTGTCTAGATCTGTTCATTGCCCCTGTTGGTCTCAAAACTTGCTCAAGCAAAATATATGTAATGCAAGCGTTCAATTCCAGATAAAAATACAAAAAATTAGTCGCCGTCGTTCCCGTTCTCCAAAATACGCAGAACTTGGTCATTTCACGTTGTTGTTGTGCAGAGGACGGCATAGAAATGTACAAAGATTTATAACGCACGTGCACAGCCATTGTTCTACTCATTAAATCTTTTGTTTGGTGGCGTTCTCGTTGTCGTTGCCGTCGTGGTTTGCTTAACGTCCCTATTTTCACTTGAAAACCAACCGCAAGCAGCGGTCATGGGTATTTTTCTGAATTTGTGCAGTTTCTGTTTTATCTGATTAAATAAATAAACTAGTATGAAATTTAGAGGTTAGAATGAAAATTAAATGTGATATGGTTTCCTTACATCTGCCGACAGGTTACTTTGCTGGGAAAATTTTCATGTCCATGTTCCTGGCAAAGAGTTCTGCGGTTGTTGCATTTACTTTGGTGTACGTTTTTACTGCCGAGATGTTCCCGACGACTATAAGGTAAGTAGCTGTGAGGGGATCGCATTTAACCTCATTAGGTTTCACCTTTTGTCGTAAGGCGTAACAAATTGAAAATAATAAGTGCAATTCGTGAAAAAGTTACCCTTGAAAAAAATTGTAACCAGGACTTGTCAAGGACGTTGCCTGCTTTTGTTAGTGCGCACACGTTCTGCGCATTACGCAAGGAAAGAATGCCCGCCACGTGCGCGCTAGGGTTGGCATTGATGTAATCAACTACGCTACTAATTGCATAAATGAAATGAAAGCAAAATCTTCCTACTGTGACCAAATCAAGTTTGATGAACCTGTACTTAAACCAGGAATACCAGAATAGCAGCGTATCGCTGACCACAAACTATTAACGGCCTACAGCTGAAAAACTAGCTTTCATCTGTCGAAAATTATACTGAAATCCAACTGTAAACATGTACCTGCAGATGGCGTGGTGGCAGCATTAGCATCAGTTGGCCTCAGTCCTTGTTGACTCGCCAACGCCTGCCCTGGAAATCTCACTCCACAAAGCGGAGGTGTCTTCTCACGCATGCAGGCTACATGCATTGAATGGTCTTTAACTGTGGGATATCTTTATTTGCTTTATATTTTCCTTACGATACTCAGGAACGTTGCCATGGGTACAGCCACAGCCTCCGCCCGCTTAAGTGCTTCTGCTTCTGCGTATGCTCCTCTCTTGGTGAGTGGTCTGTTACACGCCTTTAATTTGGGGGGGGGGAGAGGGGGGTTGGGAGCCTCTCCTCTAGTTCCGCCACTACTTAATGGGTTAAGTTTTGACCAGAGATACGGGCCTAAAAATCTTATCGAATTTCAATAAGATGTTTAAAAATATATATATTAGACAAAGAAACCTTACTGTTTTAATTGAGGGCACGTGCACACATTGTGGTATATGCACTAATTGATGAATTTAGATAGTATAGTCACAAATACCTTTACCATGATTGCAAATAGATTAATACTTGAAGTTCCTGCTCATCGTTTTACGTTCTTACCTTAGAACAATTTTAACATATGCATACAAATTTATATCTCGTATTCATTTACCTATTCATTCATTCATTTTCTTTTTAAAAAAAGAATTGAGTGGCCACAGTTAGGTGTTAAAGCTAAACAGTTATATTTTATTTATCCATTAATGTTCATCTTTTTTTTTCCGTAACAGTTTTCCGTCAATCCTTATCTTCCATTTGGGATCATGGGTGGCCTAGCATTGTCCGCTGCTGTTGTGTGTATAACTTTACCAGAGACACTCAACCAACCAACAATGGAAAATTTGTTTCAGAGAGGAACATTAGAGCAAGGCGCAGGAGATGATGCACAGGCTACTGTGCTATGAGATAGATTCAAAGATCAATCTGTTTTCAGACGGAAGGGATTTTTACTATCTTAAAGTTTTTTTGGGTTGAATAGATTTTCAAGAAATGTATTTTGGCTGTCACTGTAAACAATGCTGTATCACTAAGCTGTAGCTATAGAGAAAATGTTAAGGTCATCAATACTTTAATTGCAACGACAACGTAATCTGTGCTGTCGTTTATGTGCACATATTCATACTAAACCCTCCTCCGATCCCCTCGAACGAAGGAGACTTTGCTCGCCTGGTAGCATCGAAGCTTTCATGAAAGTGTGTAATATCAGTTCAATTGGCCTTTCTTCACCACTTCTATTGTGATGAAACAACACTACCATTCCATTCTTTTTCAGCTAGCTGATTATACAATAACAGTAGCATTAAACGACTGATATCCAAACGTTAGTAAACAGGTTGAAGAATAATGTTCTTGACACTACAATTTACAATACTAGTTTACCTATTAAATGGTACAAAATGCTGCCGAAGGGAAGGAGGATGCAAGGGGTGTCAATGCAGAGCAGGATTGTTCCCATACAGAACTCAGGATTGTCGGTAACAATAACAAACTGGTTTATTTAACTTTTCGGATTACAGCACACAGCAGCAGTAACTCACGTTCTTATACAAGAACACCTGGAGATTCCAGAAAGTATGTTGCAAGGTTTCTAAATTCGAATATTACATGAGAAATAGATCATTCCAGAAGGTTGTGGGTCACGACCGAATGACTTCCGGTTCGAGATTTTTACTAACAATAAGCCGTAATTTTTGCGAAGGACTGGAATGAAGTATATCCACAATTTTCTTTCTCTCGTGTGATTTCCAAAATGTTGGGTAAAGTTGTGCAGATAAAAAATATAAACGGTACAGGTAAAATCTGTGATTTTTCAAAATAATACTACTAAACAACAATTTTTTTTTTAATTACGAAACAACACTTGATGATGAGAGGGAACTCTGCTTCAAACTGTAAAACAGATGCCTGGTTAAAAATCAAAACTTTGCTTGCTGTTGTGGCAATTTAGACAATTAAACATCATCAATAGCAGAATGTAACGTTGAACATTAAGATTACAAAATTTGAAAACTGACTTGGTTCTCCATCACGGCGCGCGCCTTTGACCTAATATAACTTCTTCGCTTCTGTAATTTTCCACATGACTTTTGTTAGTATTAGATGAGACTCCACAAGAGTGATTTGTTGGATATTATGGACTGATGTTGTTCCCGATACCTTTCATCCTTGCTTTCATCGATCGAAGAGAGCACATGGAAAACAGCGCATCCCAATTGTTCCATTGGCGCATAACCACAAGTCCTTGCGCAATTGATGTTACCGGTACCACAATTCCTTGTGTTTCGCAAAAACGTGTTCAAAGCCCCTATAATGTGACCTTTTCCGATTAGAGAGCTGCCTCGTTCGTTCGCTTCAGGTTCACTCACTGCGGCAGCAATAAACGACGATATAGCCTGTTAGAAATACCCTTAATTTTCTTCATAATAGATTGGCTTTGAGAGCTACAGTGTTGTGAAAAAGTAATGCAAGAGATAATCGTCTAATATCGTGCTTTGTTCTTGCGATATCTCAGCGATATATCGCACATATAAGCGCCGCGTTGCAACGATAATTCAACGAGATATCGGAGCTTCCCTTCGATATCTCGCCGATATATCGATTTTGCGAAATATCATTGAAGCGCCCATCCCCGTTTCTATTTGACAGAAATTGGAAAAATGTTTATTCAACGGCCAATGTTTAATGAGAAGGTTTTTCAGGAGGTTCATATTCTACAGGGTCAAAAGCCGTGGATGGTTTGCAAGACGTATAAATGGAGAAGTAATATAGCTGAAGGGGCTTAAATGCGGTATAGAAAAAAAGCCTTTTGGTATTACAAGACGCTGAATGTCCTTGGGAACAAGAAACACAAGGCAACTGCCACTTTCAAAGTTTGGTTTCGAAAGGTTCAAGTCCAGTGACGACGACAAATTTCTTTATATAGGTTTATGTCACTTTGGGAGTATGTTAAACCTTCCACAGATTCAATAATTACTTCTGAGAAATCCGCTTGAAGTAAAGACGAACAAAATAGGTATAACACAGCTTCATTTTCATATTCACACGAGGTAGAGAAAAAAATTGAGGCGTCGCAATATCGAAATCTGCCAAAACGCGCTCCCAAGGATAACATCAAGCTTTTTTATGAAAGTTCCAATTGCCGTTTCTGGTTTAGCCTGCAGAACAGGCGGATTAGCAGGGCACAGAGCGAAACCCGATACATCGCGTTTCGCTGTCTGCCCCACTAATCCGCGTGTTCTGCATGCGCAGGCGTGCGTGCCCGAGTTATGTGCTGAAGTTGTCACGTCACACAACGGTGATCACAAAGTGCGCGGCGGTTTGTTTTAGCGAAGCAACTATTTGCTGGAAAGCTCGCGGACTTCGAAAGGACTTTGTCGTGTATGTCACATTTCGTGCATTTATGTCATGAACTAGACAAGGAGCAGTATGGGAGAGAAGAATAAAGAGAGCACATGGTCGACTTGTTGTGTGCTTCTTTCCGAACTAGTTTCACTTCTCCAACTAGTCAAACCTCCTCTAATTTATGTACCAAGAGGACACGACATTGGCGACGAGGACAAGCACGGCACAAGATGTCTCTCAGCTTCAAATGCGATTCCTAAGTTCGATTGTCACTCGGATCCCGCCACGTTGGGACCGCGCTGGACGCGTTGGTTGACATTTTTTGAGTTATTTGCGGATGGCAAAGGTCTCATTATCACTGAGACTACAAATGCAAACACGAGGCAGCGAAGAAGAACGATGCTACTCCATTTAGCAGGCCCAGATGTACAAGAAATCTTCTCTACTCTCGCGGATACCGGAGAAGCAACCGATTACGCTGCGGCTGTAACAGCATTGAATGGATATTTTCTTCCCAAAGTCAATACAGCTTTCGCCCGCCAGAAATTTCATCGACTCCAACAAAAGGAAGGTGAGACTGTTTTGCAGTTTGTTACTCGATTAAGAAAAGAAGGAAAGGATTGCAATTTTGGTGCAGACTTTGACAACCAGATAAGAGACGCTGTCCTGTGTAAATGTAGGTCAGACTATGTAAAGCG